AAAGGCAGAAACCTAGGACAGAGATTTAGGTTTAGTGCTTATAAGCAAATGTTAGCAAGCTAATAGCCAAAACTAAGATGGTGCACATGGTAACCATTATAATGTCTACACAACAGGATTGTCAGCATTATCATTGTGAGCATGTTAGAATGCTGACGTCAGCTCAACGCTCTGTATGTCTCACGACCATGGCTGTAGACTCTTAAACTTGTTTATATTAAAGGTTTTTGCAACACTCGCCTGGAGGAAATCATTTGTTGTGCTCATAAATGTCATTAATGTTTGATTAATGTTTCAATAATGTTATCGGCTGTAAGGCTTAATTAATATCACTAATATTTTTCGATTTATTCTCCAAGGCCAAGATGATGTCTAAGAAATGGTTTGTTTTGTGAAAGCAATTAGTCTGAAACCCAAAGATAGTCACTGCCATCTTATAAAACAGAGAAAAGCAGCAAATTCTTCAAATGTGAGAAGCTGGAGCCTGGGAAGGTTTGGCAATTTTCCTTGAAAACTGACATTTCAATTAATAACTTAGCAAGTCAATAAATAAAAAATATTCTCAGTATGGAACAGTGGACATTGCAGTCACAATCAGACCTTCTGTATTTACACTAATTATCTAAAAAATATGATAGAAAAGGATAGAATGACTTTAGTGACTGCATATTTTTGTGGTAAAATGAAACTTGGACCCTGAGTTTCACATAGTACGGGTGTCTCCCATACTCTCATTGTTTATTAAGCAACGCGACAACTTCACGGACTGAAGGAAAACCGACGTGTCGAATGAGTCATCACCTCCTCGGCTGCCAAATGTGCAACAATAAAGAGCATCAAAGTTTAACACGGGAGAGAAAATGATAAACTCTGGCTGCACTGGGGCCGCGAGCATTCCTCACGCAGGTGCAAAGACGAACACAGATCTGTTTCAAAACAGCTTTCAAGTGGGATTAATTCATTTCAACCATGAGTCAGAGAGAGACTTGGACGGAGCTGTGGCTTTCATTATCCATTCACTCTCCCAAGAGAAACACAGTCAATCAGCACGCCTCGCCAAGACAAACAGACTCGCACTGTAAATCTCACTGTAGGATGAGGGCAGGAGCCAAAATCAAGGCTGTGATGTGACTTCTATGACATTATAATGTCAGACTTATTGTAGGCGGCTACCAATCTCTCTGTCTGCCTAGGAAAGCTATTACTTAATGCCACTGAAGAGTGTGTGGCCAGAAAAAACAGTTTAAACATAATGTGGTGAACATCTTGGTGGACTGATATAACATATAAACTACTAACTACTTTTTTTTTGTTTTACTACAGTTGCTATTCTGGCTGACAGTCACAGTAAACAAGTTATGATTCAGTCATTATTTTGGCTAATACAAATATCGCCTCTACAGTAAACAGCATCATGTTTGTCTGTGTGTTCATTTGCGTGCTGTCACCTTTCATATCTTATATAACACTGATGGCCATTAGTGCATTTGGATTTATGTGCAGCAGCAAGTTTCATTTTAAAAGATCATTCCAGTGTAATTAGATTTAGAGTAGGAGAGGCTGCATCTCAATGTCATTATCATATTAGTGTCATTGTTAACAGCAGAATACAGTGCCACAGTGTGCCAAGCTACCTCCTGGTTTCATCCAAACTGAAGGAGAATGTAAGATATTATATTTGATTAGATTTGATTTGATGCCATCTCTAAAAATGCTGTCTTGTTATTCCCAACAGTACACGGCATGATAAAGTACAAAGGAGAAGAGAAGAAACCCACCTGAGCGTCAGTCAGCTGGAAAATATCCTTGTAAGCCAAGTAGACGAGGAAAGAGTTGACACCTAAAAACACAAGATGTCAAGGTGTGAATGAGGGAAGAGGGAGACTGAAAGAGAACAAATACATTCAAAACATCACTGACTTTGAAAATGTGATAACAGAGTTTCTTTAACCTGACAGAAAATATAACAATGAGCGAGAAGAGGACAAAGTGTAAAATACATCCAGATTACTACAAGAGGTTGAGTAAGGTGCAGTCAAATGTTGATCTCAGTGTGCTGCAAATACAGTTTTTAATTCTAAAGTGGGGCCGCAGCAGTGAAGCATGCAGTCCCTGCTAACTAACATTTGCTACATTTCTAACGTTAATTGGTATTGTGGGGTTCTAGAGGCAACTAGCAGAGCTCAGTCTCGTTTCTCTCTCATCCCAATGGGATTCTTTTAAATAAACTGGGTTGTTAAACATTAAGGGGCTGTAGTGCAGTTTACACGACTGGGAATTAAGGGGAGACACTGTAGTTGAATAGGGTAAACATTCTAACTAACTGATATCACCATGAAACTTCCCCAGTTCATTACTTACATAAGACACTTTTTTTGTTTAAATATGCAAATAAGGCATTATCTAATGCTACCTTTTGGGGAATTTAGGAGAAATCTACAAAGTGTAGTAAATTAAACACTTGAGTGTGAATTTGGGTGTTTTCTTCAGTCTGAAAGAAAACAAAGCAAAATAGCCCAAAATCTCAAAATTAACCAGTGACCAGTTAAAAGTCAAAAATGAAAGCAAATAAGAATGTGATTTTGCGTCGGGGCGTGGTCGTACCGTGATCCTTCACGAGCGCCTCCATCTCTTCCTGGATGCCCCTGTGCCACTCGGTGATGTCAACGTGCAGCGAGTAGTCGCAGCAGGACTTGCTGTCGGCCCATTCGCGCCACTGCTCGAAGGCCGAGATGAGGCTGACACCAGGCTCGGGAACCACATGGTCAACTGGATACACACACACAAACACACAAACAGTCAAACATAAAAACACTGACTCTGCTGTGATGTTACCTGTTATCCATGATTATGACGTGGTGTCTAGACCAACTGTAGGCGACCGAATATGTTCCAAAGTTTGTCTCAAGCGACCACTCGAAAGTTACCAGATACAGGACTCCTGTCACTGCTAATGATTTCCACCACACAGAGACATAATTACAGTATATGGGTTCAAGATGTTACTCTTCAGACACATATGAGTGAATATAATGGCCCACGTCTACCGACGCAGAGGACACAGCAGTTTAAAGGACCAGTGTGGAGGATTTAGTGGCATCTAGCGAGAAGTTTCAGAATGCAACCACTTGAATACAGCTCAGCCTTCTAAGCATGTAAAGTAAACTACAGTGGCCACGAAATGCCCTATCTAGAGCCGGTGTTTGGTTTGTCCATCCTGGGCTACTGTACAAACACTGCGGTCCATCATGGTGGCTCTTTGTGGAAGATAACCCGCTCCATTCGTAGATACAAACAGCTCTTTCTAAGATAACAAAAACATAAAGATTCATATATTCAGGTGATTATA